AAAATACTAAGCTTGAGTTGTGGCAGTCGAGACGTCGCTTCTCTTGCCTCCCGGTAGCAGGCAACGCTGACAGCCCGCCGGCTGACGTGCCAAACACTGTCCACCATCCACTGACCATTGGCCAGTCGCACCACCAGCACCAGCACCACCACCACTTGCCACAATTCGAGGTACGCTGCAGCCTGTTTGGGACTCCATTTGAGCCAGACTTTAAGGCCAACATGGCAGGCAGCTCGTTTTCGGGGTAATTAATCATGCTGCATAAATTAATGTAACCAGAAGTTAATTAACTTAAGTTTATTTGCACGGCTTTTGCTTAGAGGCACACTCATCATTTGCACAGCCAGTGGAGGGTATGTATTTATGTAGTATATAGCGCCATCTATCTAACATAGCTTAAGGTTGTTAGATATAAATACAGGCTTGTATTTATAAAATATATAATTATAGGAAAGATTATTATCTCATTTTTGTTTCAACAACTCTATGTTTTTCTCCCACAACAGTTTCTTTGATTTTTTTTAAAGAATTTCAACTATTTCTGATCTCGTAATCCCCTCTAAAAAACGGAAACCCTTACCAAATCGTTGCAGGTGTTTCCCACTGCGGTTGCCCCTTCTAATCCATTCTCAATTTGCCAGATTCCCCCTAATGAGCAACTGCAACTGCAACAGAAATGTGTTAATTAACTGCCTCAATGTGGCAGCTGCTGTTGTTTTGATTTTGGCTCAGAGAATGGCATTCAGAGTGCAACAGGGGACACCTCCTCTACTGCGCTGCAGTCGAACTCCGATGGAGTTCCCCTCAGCTATGGGAATTGCATTGCGACCCCATAATTTAGCCGATTGTCAGCGTTGAAACTTGGCTAACTTTGGTTGCTGGGCCGCACCCATTAATTATTTTAAAGTAGTTGGTCGGCGCGATGTTGCCTTTTCAGCGCCGTAGATTCATCGACTGTGCCGCAAAAACTTTTAGCATACAACAGTGTGGTTCGGGGTTGCACCACCCCCGCCTGCCTTCTTTTCGAGGGGAGTTCAAAAAGGTTTTAATAGCAAATGTCGGCAATTTGTCGGCGGCGACAAAGCGAAATGGCTTTTAAATTGAGCTTCACTCATGTTCGGGGGCGTGCCGAGCGCCCACATCCACTTATTGATTCTGTTATGGCTGGGCGGTCTGGGATTGGGCCAAAGGTTAATTAGTTAATTGGCTGGACAGGTGAACTTAAGAAGGATTTACAGGAAAATGCGTATGTTGTATGAGAAGACTCTGAGCGGCTTTAATCGAGAAAGTACTAAGAAGTAAGTTTTATAAATAGCATAAAGAATGACTCATACATTTGAGAAACTCATCAAAACTCATCATCATTATGGCAAACCTCATTTTGAACTTCTTTCTCCCTCCATTTGGTTGAAATTCATAATTTGAAACTTGCTCCAATTGCCACTCCCCGAAAAAGAAAGGGTTTCGAAATAATAAGTTCAAATGACCAAAAGATTCATGGCTTACACACCCACCTTGGTTCCAAAAAAAAAATAAAAAATATAAAAATTAGGGGCCTCCCAGAAAGTAGAGCGAGGCATTTAACGAGTCCCGGCGCCCAATTCGGTTCCCAAAAGCGTCTCTTTAGACAAATGGCTCGCCATTTATCTTGGGCCATTAATTTATAAATATAACTAAGGCAGATTCTAAAACAAAAACCAAAACAAAAACAAATACGAAACGAAACTTAAGAAATGAAGCTTCGCGTGCACAATGTGGGCGTGGCTGGGGAGTGCGCCAAATGGGCGCTCATTAATTTCCACAAAATGAGGGAATTTTCAAATAAAACCGAAATGAATCAAATTGAATTTTTCACCGCTGCGATCGTTGGCGTGCTCAAGTATAAATATTCGTGGCTAATTAATGTTAATTTTCGTGATTCTCCCCTCAGAAGGCAGCCACATAAATTTTCCACTCCAACAAGTCCACAATTATACGAAATTAACAAATCATTTGTGCGGCAATCTGTCAAAGTTTTCCCCTCAGAACTCGTATTATTTAGACTTTTTTATATCTGCAGAGAAGACAATGCAATTGCCTTAATTTACGCTATAAATTAAATGCACTTCCCACTTTAATTTAATTGGCAATTATTAAGAGTCTTTAATTAGCAGAGACAAGTAAAATCTTTCTAGAAGAGGATCATGTGGAGTTATTAATACTCTTTCTAAAAGGTAATCACCAATAAACTTAAAAAGTTCTTAATTTAAAGTCTAATATCATTGTTTTTCCTTGCCTTTCCAGCCTTGGGGTATTTATTTTTTATTAATGGGTATTCAAAATTATTTGTTGACTTTTTTGTCGACTCGATCGTTAAATTGCAATTACGTAATGGCAGTATGAGCAGTATGGGGCGTCATCAGCTTGCTGGTGCGCATTTTCAATTAAAAAAGCATTAAAATAAAAAATATAAAAAAAAACCATGGGCCATGCACTCGGAAGGAATTGCAATTGGAATCGGAATGGACAGCACCCATGCTCACCTGCCATAGAAGATTCCTGCCGATTCGCACAGATCTTGCCCTGCCTTAGTTCCAGTCGATCATGGTGTTATTTATGGCAGTGAGAAAATTAACTTTTCCTGCCGGCTGACATGGAAACCAATTTGCCAATTGACGCCTCAACCTCTGGCGGGCATCTTTTGGCCACGGCTCCGCGTTTGGAATTTCTTTTTCCTTTAGCTCTTGTGGCCCAGTCATTCAATTAAATTTATGTTCGAACAGGAGGCGCCAGACGAGTCAGGGGCTCGAACTGGGACTGAGTAATCGCTGATTTACGATCTGGAAACAAAAAACACTTTGCAATTATTAAACGTACTATTTTTATTGTTGTTTTTTAAGTATTGCTCTTGCTGTTGGTGTTGTTGCTGTTGTATCGACCGCCCAAGTTGTGCGCCAAATGAGGTTTAAACTGCAATTCCGTTTACATTTGGCAAACTTTTCCCATACAAATTGCCGCTAAATAGCGAAAACCTGACACAACAATAACAACTTGGACGCCTACGCCGTTGCCAGCACGTCCGTTGTTGTTGTCGTCGTTGATGAGGCACTGCAGCAAGTGTCAGGCCCATCAACCAATACCCTCACCTCACCTCTCTAACCTGTCAAATTTGCAGTGCCCGGGGAACTAATGACGCCCTTAATATGCTCCAAGTGCCTTCTGACTTGGCTGAAAGCCATTTCCCTTTCGCTTAAGCAGAAGCCTTTTGTTTTCAAAGTCATCGTCTTTGTTTCTTCGTCATCGTTGCAGACACGTCAAAATCAAACGAAAGAGGTTTGCCAAGGAAATATGACCTTAGAATGCACTTCAAATGAAAATTTATATCAATGTAGGCTAAAATAAAAGTCTTAAAAATTGATTTACATTTGTTGATACCTTTTAAATAATTATATAGTACGATCGTTTCCTAAATTAGTTCTCTGTTACGTACATTTTAATAATTTGATGCATTCCTTCTGTATCCATTTTGGTGCTTCTACATCATTTAAGAAATTACAAATATTAAAATAATTGTATGGTTTTCCACCTCACATACTCTTTCAAAACTCATTGTTTTAATGTTGTCTTACATTACCAGCAACATGTTGACCAACTGTCTAAAGCCAAATCCATACTAAACCCATATTTGTGAATATGTTGAGCCATCAAAAGGGCAAACAAAATGGATTGACGGTTAACCCCTATTCTAGATAGCCCAAGTTACTCTCTATTACAGAGCTACTCCCCTATAAAATATAAAGCCCGAGCAGGTGTCTCAGCAGCTTTCGCAATAGACAACTTCATTTTGTGGGCCGAGCCTAAAGACTCATAAATTTCCAGCCCACAGAATAAAAGCAGACCAAACTGATATGAATATATAGATATGTTCTCGTATAATTGCATATGTGTATATGCCTGGGCCCATTCCAAGTGCAATTAAGTAATTCTCACATCGTTTATGCAAAATACGAGAATTTCCAGGCATTCTGCCAGAGCACCCCCATGATAAAAAAAATAGAAACCCTTGGTTGCAGGGTTCTGCCCCTGGTTTTGGTTCTGGTGATTGCTCGCGTGCAACCTCAACACCCTTTGCTTGTAGTCAAGTGGCCCATAAATTGTTGGCCAAGTTTTCACGGTGCCCGCCCACTTTTCGTTGCGCTGCTTTGACAACGGCAATTACCTTGAACTTTTCGCCGGATCGCTGGTCCTTTACCGGCCATATAGCCAAAAAAAAAAAACAAAACAAAAAGAAACTGACGCAAAAAACTAAATGCAAGAAAATTTATTTATATTGCTTATTGCTGGCGGGCTGCAGTTTTGGGCCTCGGCCTGTGATGTCTTCCCGTTTTGTCAGTTTAATTTTTGGTTTAGTTCGCTTTTCGCTTTAAATGAACCCAAATTGCCGGCCCATTAGCTTCGTGTTGATGCCGCTGCTCTATATGCATATATTACATATATAACCCCGAAGCAATCACTGTGTAGTAAATATATTTTTTACAACCAATCGTTTGCATTTTGAATATCAATTTATTTTCCCCCCAAGACCCCACCCTTCTATCTTGGCCCGGTATGCAATCAATTTCGGCATTTAGCCGCTGCTATCGACTGACATTTATTTTCTGGCCGCTTTATGAGACCGTAATTCGTAATTGTTGATTCGAGTTTTTACTGTCAATGTTTAGCACACAACAATTGCAGTTCGTCGATGGCAGGGCATTGGTTTTTCATCATCAACAACTCAATAAAGGAAAAACCTTGTTAGCAATATATGTATGTCTGAAGTTTTGGGGGCCCTTTTGCTGATTGTTTGACAGTTGATCGATATATTTTGTGGATATGTAATGGGTCTATCATGCAATGGGCCAAAGCTTACCAACATGTGAGGATTTAAGATTCTAAGAGGGATTTATAGTAAAAACTTTAAAGGCCATTTGAAGTAAAGAGTTATTTTTTCATTCGTTTAATGTTTTAATGTAGGCTTTAGTTATTAAACAGTTTTCATTATTCTATACACACTTGACAAATAATTTACAAAAGTTTAAAGGAACACAAATAGCAGAGACCTTAGTCCTTGGTAGATCCAAAATTCTACTTTTCCCTATCTCCATCTCTTTCCCTTTCTCGATCCCTCTCTCGCTCCCGTTCTCGCTCCCTCAGATAGAGTTGCTGCTGCTGGAGGAAGTGTTGCTGCTGCTGCTGGTGTTGCTGCTGCAAGTGTTGCTGGTGCTGCTGCAGCAACTGATGCTGTTGCTGGGGACTGAGAGCCTGGGGACTCTCGCCCGGATTAAGCTGTTGCTGGTGCTGGAGGAACTGTTGCTGGTGCTGGGCTAGCTGTTGCTGGAACTGCTCCCGTAGTCTCTGATGCTCCTCCGCATCCATTTCGCTGCCGTAGTCGTCCATGTCGATCACTTCGTCCTCGTCGTCCTCCTCGATCTCGTCGTCGTCTTCCTGATCCTCGCCATCCTCGTAGCTGTGCTGGGATCCCTCGTTCTTGGCATCATCCTCGCCATCACCACCTCCACCGCCTCCCGAGGAACTGCCCTTGTTGCTCTTCGTGTCGCTGCCATCGCCGCCCTCCTGTTGCATCCTCTTGTGCTTGGTACGGCGGTTTTGGAACCAAACTTTTACCTGATCAGGATACAGAAATGGTATATGTATTATTATAAAGAAATATCATTTTTAAACCATATTTTAAAGGATATAATTCTAGTCGCCCTTACGAAACAATTGAGTTTGATACTGATTTTTTCAGTGAGGGTCTTAGGGAGGGTCTTTAACCCTTCCATTTGGTTGTTGTTTTCCGTTTTTTGGCAAGTCGTAAATAAATTTAACGAGTCTTTTAATTCTATTTACGGCCTGCCTCCCAGCTATGCCCCCGAGGGTGTAAAGTCAATTGCCCCCTGCCCCCAACCCTGCCCCTTATGGCGCTAATAACTCAGTAACTCCGGCACTTCTTGGGCTAACGACCAGACGACATGCAATCACTTAGCTTCTGGCCTGGCCCATAAAAGGGGTTGGAACGGGTAAAGGAGCGGAGATGGAGATGGAATGCCACAGGGGTGTTTATTGAATTTGATGCGCATTAAGAGAGCAAAGGGTTGGGAAGGTTCCCTGGGCGAAGCTTACCTGGGTTTCGGTCAGACTGAGTCCCTGGGCCAATTGCTTTCGCTCTGCTCCCACCACGTAGTGATTCCCCTCGAAGGCGTGCTCCAGCTTGAGCAACTGCGTCGGCGAGAAGGCGGTACGAACGCGTTTCGGCTTACGGAATGGCTGGAACAGAAAATCTGCAAGGAAAAGTAACCAAAATTTGAGTAAATATATGAAAAATTACACATTATATCAATCGCTATAATCCTTTGATGAACGATTTATTTTCTGTGTGGTGGCTTGCCAATTAGATGAAACGGCTTCTTAAATTGTTGATTATGAATTCCGGGAATGCCGCCGGCAAAGATGCCGCACACTCAGCAACTCGCATACTTGCATGTTGCACACGCTCATTACAAAACAATAAACAAATTTCCAGACATGGGCCGCAAAAAACACAAAAGGCTTCTGGTTCGTGCCGCTGTCGGCGCTGTGTCCGGGCCCATGTCCCAGAATCGCTGATAAGGCCAAAACAATTGGGCCCGGCTAGCGAGCGGCCGCGAAACTGGCCAGCTGAGTTGGCCAGCTCTTCTGGACGCCAAGGCGAACACTTTAGCGCGCCTAAAAGCCGCCAACGACGCCTCTTGGGCCGAGGATCCATTGTTCTACCTTCCAGCGGGCACAACGTGATATTTTGACGTTTATCACGATTTCTGGAAGCCCCAACCTCCACCTCCCAACTAAATTGAAGCTCAGCGGCTGCCAGTTAACAAATTTTCAATTGAGCCACAATTTGAATATTGATACGAGGCAGGGGCTACTGTGCAACATGAGGCAGAGATTTGTGATATTGCAGAGGAAAAATATGATGGTTAATACAAACGTTTTTGGGAAAAGTATAAAGGTATCGCTTTATATATTATTATTATGCTTTCTTTTAGCTTAAACTAACATTTATCTTTCTATTTAACGTCATTGAAAGGATGTCTTGGAAGTGAAATGACTTTTAGCCAAAAATAATAATAGATCATATCCCTAGCCAGACTTGTTGTGATATCATTTCGGTGAACAAGCCTAAGTCACAGGAATCCCTAGCCCCGCAATCCCTAGGTGTGCCAATTATAAAATCAATATTGACACAGCAGAATCGAATCGATTTCGGAGACAGGAAGTCCACACAATGCCACCAAACAGAAGCTAAGCCAATGCGAAAATAAACAGCTAATAAACAAAAAGGCAAGCGAAAGGGCGCGAAGATATTAGATACAACCCCGGACTGAAATGTATCTTGTAACTCGTGCATTGTATCTTGTTAGCGCTGCCAGGCCTGGAAAAACAAAAACAAACCAAGGAGCAGACAGAAAGGATGGCAGGCAGGAAGGACAACCGGAGGGAGCGGGTCGGGAACTTGTCAATTTGACACTTCATAAATGCAGGCTCGGGCCATTGATGGCCATGTATCTGACAGATGCAACTGACTGACTGCGAGATGCTCGCTCTCGTGCGTGCTTGGTTTTTGCTATGAACTTGACAAACGATTGCCAGGAGCGAGCCGAGTCGATCCCAAGCATCCAGAATGATCTAGTTTCTTTTTGTTTTCTCTGTAAATGTATCTTTTTATGAACCCGGGCGATCGCTTGACATTTGTTACATTTGACAGCTAACAATGTAGCTACAAGATACACGACTGCCCAGCGCCTTAGAAGTGCCTCTATCTGCAATATAATTGATAATGCCGCCGCTCACAATGGCCACTTAATTATTTTTTCCTCTGGCTTTTTTTTGCTAGATCTCGCAGCATCTCTCCGCATCTCTCAATGAAGTGTATAAATGTTTTTTTTTTAGGTGCGGACACAAAAGAAACCGCCGTGCGAAAATACGCGCAATTGACAATTAATTGATGTGTCCGCTCTGCCGGCCATGTGGTTGTTGTATTTATTTTTTCCCCGCTCGCTACTCTTGCTCACACCCTTGTCAGCTGTCATTTTTTTATACATATAATTTATTTTTTGCCCATGATGGAAGTGCCATCGATGCGTTTCGTTTTCGTTTCGTTTGTTCGACTGTCCTGGCTCTTTTTTGTTCCCCTTATTATTTATCACTTATCTGCAATTGTATTTGTTCGGATTTTTTTCATGGAGTTAGGGCTTAATTTTTATGCTCTCATGATTTTTTCATTAATTTATTGCCTCGGTAGCATTGCATTCCTCGATTGCCCCGAGCTATGCTCCGAGGACATTGACTCGAACTCGATAATTGAAATCAAATGCTCTGAAAGTCAGCAAGGATGTAGACTTGATCGATTGGACAGGATTTTCCTTTTGATGCTCGGATGTGAATGGGATTTGTGGGTTTAATTAGAGTGGAAATCGTTCCTATATAGGTATGGTTAATTAAAATATTAGGGGTGCTTTTTACTGATACTGAAACTCTGCTTTCGCCTATAGAGTTGAAAAACAAAAATGAAAATCTTCCTTTTTATATTTAGCAATAAATACATATTGAGTTCTTCGGCAATATAATAGTAATCTTCTCGCGCACTCAATGAAATTTTCGTCACCTTCCTGAAGTTACAGAGATTTAACGTTGGTTATGACTATTTTATTATATTAATTTTATTTTCAACATATAATGTTTAATATACATAAATTTTAAGGTATGGAAATATATTAAAAAAAAAAACATATTTCAATTTCAGTTTTCTAGTATTTGACGGATACCATCGCCTAAAATTTGTTTCAAAAAACGTATGATGAACTCATCATCCTATTAATTTTGACCCCTTTTCATGAATTTTTATCAGCTGTCTTAGTGGGCAACACCTTAAAAAGTGTAAGCACGTGCAACCTGTAACGAGTTGATGATACATTTTGACCATTATCTTCAAAAAATAATAGGACAATGGAAATATGTAACCCTCTATTACTCACACGGCTGAGAAAAGGAAAAAGAAAAACATTTACAATTAATGGAATCGTTATGCGAAACATTGACATCTCAGGATCATAAATCAAGCGAAAATTACAGTCGGAAAGGAGGAAAGTGAGAAGGGAGCTGGGGAAAGTGGTCGGGGACAGGAGGAGCCGGCCAGAAGCAGAAGCCGAAGTCAAACGGGAAATGGAAAAAGGGAGAAAATAATGAAACATCGTACAACATAATTAAGGCGTAACGGGGATGTGTACGTACCACTTGGGGCAGGTGAAAGGCGTGTGAGTGTGCCGAAAATTATTTTCATTTACCAGCCAAAAAATTCAGAAACAGAAAAAACAAGAACCAAAGGCGAGGCAAAAAGCCAAGTAAAGAAGGCATGAAAATTCAAATGGTAATTATGGAAGAGTGGCGAATGAAAAAAATGGTTAAAGAGTAATAAATGACAATGTTTTTGAGATGCGCTTTGCGGTTTCTTTATTCCATTTCTATATATTTTTTGTACATTTCTTGGTTCTTGGTCGGTTTGCCCCAAAACCTCAATTAAAAACGCATTAACATTTCACTCGCTGCACTTTGGAGCTGTATGAGTGTATATATTACACATACGCCGCATGGGCCCAACTGGCAACTGGCGCCGTCTGCTGGCCATTAATGGTAATTTCGACTACTAACACACACTGACACACATACACACTCGGATGGCCATTTAGGTACGCTGCTTGACCTAACGATGTGTGTAATGTTGTTTAAACAATTTAATTAAAATGTAATTTGTTTGGAAATAGTTATCAAAATGGGTTTGGTTCGGCTGCCCTGCCTCGCTCGCTCGCTCGCTCACTCTCTCCCTATCTCTTTCACAATTTCCATTCTCGCTCTCCTTCTCCGGCTGATGATGATGACGCTGATACACGTCTAATTAACTTGTAATAAATGTTTGCCATTTGCTTATTTAACTTTAATTATACAGAGCAGCCCGGCAACAACAGCCACTCGCAACAAGAGCAGCAACAACAGCGATAACTGAATAATTGCTTGATTGAGGTTCTCTTTATTTTAATGGCGTCTGGTTTTTAAGGCAGAGGGGGTTAAAAATGGGTTTAAGGTGTGGTTTCTTCCTTTTTTATTTGGTTCATAGCCCTCCACGTCCATTAGAAATGGTTTTAAATTATAAATAGACTTAAAAACAGAGGGAATAAACCTTAAACCACTTTATAATATTTATCAAAAACATTAATTAATACTTCCACTTTGTAAATGGATTATCCTATCAAGCTCTTCAGTATTATAAATGGCTTGTTGTTTTAAAAATCAATCTAAACTATCGCCAAGTGACTTTTATTAACTGGTTATTCATTGAAATTAGTCCACTATTGATACATTAGAGATATCAATCAACTTTAATTGTTTTATTTGACCAATCTGCATATTCGGCTTTTGGAAATTGATTTTAAAAGAATGTTCAGAATAATTTCTTGATAAACCAGTTAGGTCTAACATTCCAATAAAGTATATATTATATGTATATGTATATAATACTTACTGCCAGGAAATCGTGGAAAAATGCGTCCATGTCGGCTGATCAGCCAGGGATACAGTGGATAACTGTCGCGTATCAGATGCGGAGGTCCACCGAAGGGATGGTGACCGTGGGGCGATGGATGTACGGGATGGGGCCCGCCCGGGAAAATGCCGAGCGGTATTTGGCCGGGCGGCAGATGCGGATGTGGACCGTGGGGCGGTCCTGTTGGCACGGGAGGATGTGGGTGCGGACCCTGTTGTTGCTGCTGCTGCTGGTGGTGATGGTGCGCCAGGGCGGCGGCCATTTGGAACTGGGCGGCAAGAAAGGGAGGCGGTGGAGGAGGCGCTCCCGCCGCTCGTACCGCCAGAGAAGTGGGTGAGGTGCGGTTTTGGATTAAAGCTAAGTTTGGCGCCGGCAGAGGCAACGGACGGATGAGGGTTCCGATTTGGGGTGGCGGCGGATTCCCGGCTCCCGGCTGTTGGGGGTCCACCGATTTCGGGGGAGATGCCGCAGCGTTTGGAGGCGTTGGCGAGCGGCTGGGTGGCGAACGAGGAGGGCTTCTGGATCTATCGAGGGAGTCCCTTCGGCGACAGTAAATAAACCCTCTGGGCGTCCTTCGTCCGCTGGTATTGGTGTTTGTGGGTGAGGCAGGACTTTCGCTGCGTGGCGGCGGCGAGGATATCACACTGACTCGCAGAGGAGCGGATCTCGACGTCGTTTCACCCACAATTGAGTCGATGCTGAAGGCCAACTTGGGCTTACTGGCGGAGGCGGAAGCGGAAGCGGCGCTCACCGAAACGGAAGTGGAGGCCGTTGAGGAGCTGCTGCTACTGACAAAAGGACTCGTCGGCGCCATGGGCAGCATGTTGAAGGTTTGGCGACCGCAGGTGACCATTTGGTAGGGGTATAATTATTTAAAAAAAAAAAATATATAAATAAAGTACAAGGTTGAAGATTTCTAGCCCGGATTTTGGATGAATCCGAAGTCTCTGTAGAATCTATTTGCGCTTTTTCTGTGCCAACCATTGAGTTTAATCGATCGCGTACAGTGGTCACTGGCTAACACACGCACGCACTGTTCCGGCAGATAGCTGAGGTATCTGTAATGCTTCACCGGTTGGCATCCGTCGGCCTGACATTGATAAACTGGAGCGCGGCGGCGATTGAAGCGTGACCGTACCGCTTCGATAAGCGATTGACAGCGGCGGCGAACGAAACTTTTGCGGTTGCCGCGATGATGATGCGAACTGTCAACGCCATTAGCATTATGCAGCGTCTAAAGGGGTCTAATTGTTCGCTTCTCTCGGCAGCTCCCAGTCTGCTCTCTCCCTCACTCTTGCTGCCTCGCTCTTGGGCTCCCTCTCAGCTTGTTGTTGTTGCTTGTTTCTGGTGGGGGCGTCGGCGAATCGCTGCGTAACTCTCGCGCGGAGCGTTGTTGCGTGGATGCCGTCGCTCGAGTGACACAAAAAAGTGCCAGAGTGCCGGAGCTGTTGCCACAGCGGCTGCTGCTTCTTCTTCCTTTACCGTTGCCTTCCAGTGGAGCTCCAGCGTGCGTCCCTTTCGCACACAGCCCCCCAAAAAGCGCCTGCGCCAAAACAGCACAGAGATAAATATGAAAAAAACCGGCTCGGGGCTGGTGGTGGACCCACCTCCTCTCTCTTTCTAGCTCTCGTGCTCTTCTCCACATAAGGGGTTTTTGTAGGTGTGTGTGTGTGTGGGTTGTTTGGGGCTCTCTCTCTTGCTCTCTTGGCCATTTTTCGCACCAGTTTATGACAGTGAAACAAACAATTTGCGCTAAACAAAACAGCATCATTAAAGCGTTTGTGGTTTTAGTGCCAAGCGGGTTTTCCGGTTCATAGGAGCAAGGGGAAACAGCGGGGGGAGCGACTTGGACAGTGGAAGACTTAAAAATGTCCTTACTAGCCAAGTTCAAGCCGGAAAATAGACTTTATTTTCGAATAGTTCGCTTGTTTTGGACTATTCAGTAGTTTCATTAAATGAGATGTATAATATACATACATATTTTAATAAATGATGGGTATAATGTGGGTAATTAGGGATTTTAATATGATCTCTAAGTCTTACAAAAACCCCATAATTAAATATTTTATTTTTCAATTCCACTGTGCTCTGGCGTCAACGTCATCGCTTATATAGCTTAGACGCCCCGTCGTCAGTGCCCGGCTGTCCTGCCCCCTTTCTGTGGCCCCTTCAATCATCAATCCTTGGCCAAAAAACACCTCTCCCCTTGTTCAGGCTTCCACCATTCTGAATTGGCTCGAATTGGCATCTGCATCATGTTGGTCGAAAGCATTTGTACATGAAAATGGGCGGCAACTTGGTTTCTTCACCTTCGGGGAGCTGCAACCGCTGGCGCACTCTCACACGGTTGCAGAAACACACATACAAACCAGTATCTGTGTATGTGTCTGGGTAGGTGTATCTGCATCTGTATCTGGTCATCCTCATCCGCTGGCTGTGAGTTGTGAAAATAAACACCTCGTTAAAGATGCAGGAGGAGGCATAAAACATGCAGCGCCAACATCGTTGCCTTCTCATAGGTAAATATACTCGGATATATGTGTGTTCGATCCAGCCCCTCTTGGGGCTCACCCCCCTTTCGACCCTCTCATCAGTCTCTTCCTCTTCTTCTTCTGGCCATGAATGGAGCTTGGCCGAAAGGAGTCGAACCGAGGCTGGCAAATAAATTGATGTGCGCTTGCCTGGATTTGTATGCATCTAGATAAGGTTTCCCTGTCGATGGCTGAAGTGGCTGCTGCCGCAGATGCAGTTTGTATCTGTATCTGTGAGTGTGGCACCTCTGGGTGCGGTAATTGTAATTGGTTTTTTATTTTTTCCATACTCTTCTGCGCTTTCTGGCCGGCTCTGCCCGGGGACTGCCTCACGTTTCGGGATAAATCATTTAATTAGTCAGACAATGAGCTGGGAGAGAACTTTATGGGATCCTCCATCACTGCAAAAGGTTATCGATCGCCAATCAATGATTTTCGGGGCGTATTTTTTGGCATTTACCGCACTTGATATACGACCAGAAGGTGGGCCGAGAGATAAAAGCCAACAAATGCCTGGCTTATCTGGGCTTGAAAGCTAGAAAAGTTTTTCAGGCCAAATTTCTGAACTTTAGGATTCTTGATAAAGTAAGAAATTATACAAGATATTTAATAAAAGTTTATTTAATAAATAAAAAAATGTGTTTGTTTATTCTCCTTAAAAATAACGTTAAGTAGATGCATTTTTCTAAAAAAGAAACTTAATTTTTTAGATTCTAATTCCCTGTATATTTGTTTCTGTTTCAATTTATGTTTTAATTTATATTGAACAAAGATCTTAGATATCTTATATTTTTCTTACTACCAAAAATTCCAAAAATTACCCGATATAACTATTACCCAAATAGTAACTCATATTTATTTGTTTTCATTTATCCAAACTAATTAAAGTCGGCTAAAATTACGGCCTTCCAATGGAGACTCCCTCTACCAAGTATCTTCTCACAATGTTCTTAGCCTGGCCGGGCTCTCTGCTCATAAAAGATACAATCCACAACGCGTTTCCATGTTCCACTGCCGGAGAGTGAGATAACCTGGCCGTTGGCTTTGATTGGCTACCGAAAGTATCTACCAAAGTGTAAGTGAGACAACAGTAGTTGAGGGCCGCTAACAAGGGGTTGGTAATGTCGGCCAGAGCGAGAAAGGCGAGGGGCGACAGAGATAGGGGAGAAAAACAGGCAGATGACGACGGGCAGCGTATAAATCCAATTCATTTAATAATTGCCAACTAGATGGAGCTCATTATCACGAGTACTTTGCACGGCTTTACCAGATACTGGCGGGGGGCAGCAGTCGACGAATGAAGGGGCGGCTGCAAAGAATGGGTTCTACGGTGGGAGGGCTTACTGTATACGGTTAGATCCTAACTAAAATATGGTTTTAATATATGCAGAAATATGTATCCAGAGTTGTGTATTTTATATATTTTTAGGATCGCTCTTAATTATAAGTTTTTAGACATTATATTTTAACTGCACAACCATTTTTTGAGAACCTCCATTATGTATAGAAATAATTGCGTCAAACTGATTGCTGTGCCTAAAAGATCTGCGCTAATTCCACGAGTATCTCACAGATACTGCATCTGTGTGAGCGTTTGGCTCGTTAGCGTTTTTATTAGACGCGCAAATGGAAGCCCAGAGCACTGGCGACGATGCTGGGACGTCTGAGAAGTCTGATGTGCGATGATGGCGACGGCTTTTCAGTGTCAATTAAAACAGCTTCGCGTCTGTGCGGATTTCATGATGATGATAGAGAAGGGGGATGGAGAGGGGCAGGAGCAAGGGGGAGGATGGAGGGATGGCAGACGGATGTCTGTTTAGCGAAAGCATAATTGCCACAAGGGTTGGCCATTCAGCCATTTCAGGCATTTCAGCCATCATTCCACGCCATCTCCTTCGCACCCATGGCGGCGACCAGCGCGGTTCGTGTTGACACAGCTAATTGGCTTTATTTGTTTTAATAATTGAGCATTTTCGGCATCAGCCATGGGCACTGATTTAATTAAAAATTTTCACTCGCCATCGAAAGGGTTTTCCTTCAATCGGTCGTGACACTTTTTGTTTGTCTGGCCGAAAAGGAAGCGGAAATTGAATTTTAATAAGTCGGATTTAGTGTACAATTTTTGTTGTTTTTTAATGACTGCGGTCTGAGCTCAAAGTCTAGGGGGGGATGAGAGAAAATACTTCCGCCGGGCTAAGCTCCAGACTTAATTAAATGCAAATAAATATTTTGCAACTATTTGGAATGCTTAGTCGGTGATCAGTCTCTGGGGAGGATCATCGGCGATGGCAGATCACGGCAAATCCCTAAACTTAAACCATCGGAAAGCCATTGGAAATCCACTGGATCTGGATGTGGATCTTCGTTCGGTTCTCCGAGGATCGACGCATTTAATCCAATTATCGATGCCTCGGGAAATTTCTGACTCGTCTAAATTGTGGGCGGGTGGTGTGGCTTAGCCCAGGTAATGCACCCGTTCCCAGAAATGAGAGAGACGGAGAAAGGGCACTGTATGAGCTGTCAGTTGATTAATTAAAATTTTGATCAAGTCGCAAACGAGGGCCATTATTTAATGACTTTTTTATGAGATAAGCCAGGTGTGGTATGTGCACTAAAAAAAATAAAGTAAACATATCAAAAGAGTCAACTTTATTTTGAAGTCTTAGTAGTAAGATACTCTGTCTAATTTTCTTAAAATAAAATATTTTATAATTATACTGGTGTGTAAGCTATCCAAAAAGGTATTATTTTCCTCTGTGTATCCAAGTGGGTGTGGCAATACATGAAATTATGGAGCCTATACCGATCGAGGCGCGACAACTGCCGCAAATTATCGCAAATTTGTGCGGTTCGTGGGATGCAAGCGAAATATTTTATGGCCTCATTATGCAAATTCGAATGGCTCTCGCAGCGGACGGAGATCGTGGAGGGGGAGAGGTGAACAGCGGAAGATGGATCAGCCAGGTCTCAGGTAGCTCGCATCGGGTCTCAATTAGATACGCTTGCCGCCGGAAAACCGCATTGAAATTACGCCAGGACCTGCCCGAGTTCCATAATTGCGGTAATGCCAATAATCTGTTTTTGACCAACCATCGTTTTCCACCTACTGCTCTCGACCCTGTCGACCTTTAACCCACTCTTCTGCTGCGGCTACCTCGGCCGCTACCCCTTTCCGCCCCTTAATCCCCGCGAACCGCCTCATGAGCCTGAGTCAGCCTCTAATTGTTGACCGGGCCGAAAGGATTCGGATTCGGGTTTGAAATCGTATCCTTTGTGTTCCTGTCGCGCGCACTAAGCAGCATCGATAATTGGATTAAATCGCGCTCCTCGAAGGAAATCTGGCCGAAGAGATTCCGCGCTAGTCCCGCGCTGATCTTTGGATTTTCAAACGTGGCTTTGAGGCGCACAAATGCCGAGTTAAGTTCGAGGATTTGCTGGCCTAAACACGCGCTGATCATGTGTGGGCTATTGTCGGCTTGGTTCCCCGGAAAACAGGGCAGCCGGATTCAGTCTACTGATCCCCCCCGGGATCTGTTGCAAGCCCAATCCAGGCTGCAAGACTAACTTTTCCCTGATCCCTGAACTTCGGCGAAAATCCAAAATATTTAGTAGCGCTTAATGGGGCAATCTCACCAAAACATATTGTGCAGAAATTATATTTGTTTTCTACAAAGATTGTACATTAGAGGGTTTAGAATTTAGTGATTCAACTAGCCTCTGATATTTTGCCTATGATTAAGGGATCTATTTTTGGAATCCTCATAAATTCCATCTTTTGATTGAGGCAATCGTTTTTTCGTAATTAATAAAATGATACACAGAATTTCCACATTAGGCCCGGCACTTGAGGCTTGCCATTAGACAAACGGCCAAC